AAGAAAAGAAAGAAATTAGCCAGGCATGGTGGCTCGTGCCTGTAGTCCCAGCTACTCAGGAGGCTGAAGGCAGGAGAATCGCTTGAACCCACGAGGTGGAGGTTGCAGTGAGCTGAGATCGTGCCACTGCACAGCCTGGGTGACAGAGCGAGACTCCGTCTCAAAAATGATAATAAAAGAAAAAAGAAACAGAAATGCTTGTCACTTCACCTCTTCATCTGCTGTTCCCTGAGTGGGCATCTCTCTGAGAAAGTTGACTCTATCTGTAAGCACTTTTGACACGATGCCTGGAGCCATGAGTCTTTGCACAGGCCAACAGAAATATTAAAGACCTAGGGAATAAGATCTCCACATTCTAAAATACAAGAACAATTACAAAAGAAAAAAAAAGGTAACATTATGTCAGCCTCACTAAGCGTAAAATTGAGAATTCATTCAACTCCCATTTAGATTGTTTTTGAGGCTAGGTGACCTCATTCAGCAAGAATTCCTAAGCACATCCAACCAATCATCCATTCATTGCTAGCTAGAACTAAAAGAATCATTACAAAATCCCTTTCAAAATGTTTCCAGCAAAAGAAAAAAGTCCTTGGCCTTGCTTTCATATGTCGGACATCATGCAGTGTGATATCTTCCAAAGCAACAGTACAGAGTCAGAGAATGTGTATAAACAGCCTGGAAAGTGCCAAAAAAAAAAGTCCCCCTTGTGTTCTGGGCCCCTCTCCTACCAATACCCGAGACACTGCGGGAAAATGTATCTGTCCCAATAGCCCAAGCTAAAGTCTCAGGGCTGACTCTGATAGGCTGAGCTTGGGCCATGTAATATTCCTACACCAATCACTAACATCATGGGAAGCAATTAATGCTCTGATGGGCTGAGCTTGGCCCAATGAGGACCTCACTGATGCCAAAGTGGGTCAGTGATCCCAAATCCACTCCGCAGTGTAGAGATAGGGACCAGACCAGGGATTCCCCACTGAGACTGATTCTGGCCTCAGAGGACTTTTATCACTACCTAGAGACATTTTTGGTGGTCGCCACAGAGTTGAGGGTGGGATGCTACTGACATCTAGTGGGTAAAAGCTGCTAAACGACCTCTGATGCACCACCACTAAGAATGGTGCCAACTGTATGCTCGAGAGGCTGATGGAGGGCTAGCTAGCGCAGGTCCTCAAAGTCCCTTCCTTTATTTGTTTTTGTTTTTGTTTTTTTTCTCTGAGAGGGAGTCTTGCTGTGTTGCCCAGGCTGGAACCCAGCGGAGTGATCCCAGCTCACTGCAACCACCACCTCCCAGGTTCAAGCCATTCTCCTACCTCAGCCTCCCAAGTACCCAGGATTACAGGAGTCCACCATCACGCCCAGCTAATTTTTGTATCTTTAGCAGAGACAGGGTTTTACCATGTTGGCCAGGCTGGTCTCAAACTCCTGGCCTCAAGTGATCCGCCCACCTCAGCCTCCCAAAGTGCTGGGGTTACTGGCATGAGCCACCACACCTGGTCCCTCAAGGTCCCTTCTTATTCACATTGGCTAACCGAGGCCAGAGAGAGGCTGTGAATCTCTCAATGTCCCCCAAGCCTGGGGCGTGGCAAACCTGTGGGCACCGGACAGTAGGCAGCAGAGGCTGGCTCCCCCACCCTGACCCTCACCCCCACCCCAGGCAGAGACAGACAGAGATACAGGACCCTGAGAGCTGAGTTGCTGGAGGTGTTTCTGGTTTTGTTTGTTCAGAGACAGGGTCTTGCTGTGTAGCCCAGGCTGGACTTGAACTCCTGGCTCAAGCAATCCTCCTGCCTCAGTCTCCCAATCCAAGAAGCTGGAACTACAGGTGTGTACCACCATACCCAGTTAAGTTGCAGTTTCATTGTGGCAAAGTACACATAACAAAAACATTACCACTTTAGGCCAGGCGCAGTGGCTGCCACTTGTAATCCCAGCACTTTGGGAAGCCGAGGCAGGCGGATCATGAGGTCCGGAGATTGAGACCAACCTGGCTAACAAAGTGAAACTCCGTCTCTACTAAAAATACAAAAATTAGCCGGACGTGATGGCGGGCACCTGTAGTCCCAGTTACTTGGGAGTCTGAGGTAGGAGAATGGCATGAACCCGGGAGGCGGAGCTTGCATTGAGCCAAGATCATGCCACTGCACTCCAGCCTGGGCAACAGAGCAAGACTCTGTCTCAAAAAAAAAAAAAAAAATTAGCATTTTAACCAGTGTATTTTATTTCTATTTTTTGAGGCAGGGTCTTGCTCTGTTACCCAGGCTGGAGTGCAGTGGGGTGATCATAGCTCACTGCAGCCTCCATATCCTGGGCTCAAGCAATTCTTCTGCCTCAGCCCCACAACTAGGCAAGCACTGCCATTCCTGGATAGTTTCTTATTTTTTGTAGAGACTGGTCTATCTATGTTGCCTGAGCTGGTGTCGAACTCCTGGCCTCAAGCAACCTCTCACCTCGGCTTCCAAAAGTGCTGGGATTACAGGTGTGACCCACCTCGCCCAGCCTTTAACCACTTTGAAGTGTACAATTCAGTGGGATTTAGCACATTCACGGTCTTAGGCAACTATCGCTACTATCTGGTTCCAGAATATTTTAATCACCCAACAGGAAACGCTGTCCCCATTAGCAATCACTCCCCATTCCCCCTTCCTCATCCCTGGCAGCCACTAATCTACTGTCTGTCTATGGATTTGCTTGTTCTTTTTTTTTTTGTTTTTTCTTGAGACAGCGTCTTGCTTTGTCGCCCAGGGTGCAGTGCAGCAGCACGAGCTCAGCTCACTGCAACCTCCACCTCTCAGATTCAAGCGATTCTCCTGCCTCAGTCTCCCAAGTAGCTGGGATTACAGGCACGCGCAACCACGCCCAGCTAATTTTTGTATTTTTAGTAGAGACCGGGTTTCACCATGTTGGCCAGGTTGTTCTCCACCACGTGACTTCAGGTGATCCACCCACCTCAGCCTCCCAAAGTGCTGGGATTACAAGCATGAGCCACTGCGCCCAGCCGGGATTTGCCTGTTCTGTACATTTCAGATCAATGACACCTCACACTCTGTGGCTATTTGCATCTGGCTTCTCTCACTCAGCATCATGTTCTCCTGTTTCATCCACATTGTAGAATGGAAGGGTGCCTCATTCCTTACATGCTGCATCATATTCCCTCATATGGGTATTCCACCAACAGGGATGGTTCTTTTTTTTTTTAGACGGAGTCTCGCTCTGTCACCCAGGCTGGAGTGCAGTGGCATGATCTCGGTTCACTGCAAGCTCCGCCTCCCGGGTTCACACCATTCTCCTGCCTCAGCCTCCCGAGTAGCTGGGACTACAGGCACGCCCCATCACGCCCGGCTAATTTTTTTGTATTTTTAGTAGAGATGGGGTTTCACCGTGTTAGCCAGGACAGTCTCAATCTCCTGACCTCGTGATCCGCCCACCTTGGCCTCCCAAAGTGCTGGGATTACAGGCGTGAGCCACCCCGCCAGGCTAGGGAGGCTTCTTAAGAGATAGAGCAGGTGGCTGGGCACAGTGACTCACGCCTGTAATCCCAGCACTTTGGGAGGCCAAGGCAGGTGGATCACCTGAGGTCAGGAGTTCGAGACCA